GGGCAGTGAGACTGGGCTCTGGGGCCTCTCTGTGGGGCAGATACGAGCCAGGGTCCAGAGAGTCCAGTCATCAAGAGCAGCAGTGCCGTTATGTCACAGTTTGAGGCCTGAGGAAGAGCGTTAAACTGACCTTACCTGACCAGCCTGATTCATTTCTTGGCAGAGACCAAGAAACTCTCGTGCTGCGCAGGCTTCCGAACAGGAGTAAGACATTTCAAATGCACCTGTAAAGCGTCGAGGCTTCTGGTTAGCAAGGGAGCCTGCAGATTCCTGTCTGCAGCTCCTGCTCGGTCAGGTCAGCCAGCCCGTGAGCCGAGCTGAAGACGGTAGCTCGGAGGGCCCGAATCGCGACCCGTGTTGGGGCTCGGCCCCTCCGCTCTGCTGCTCTGACCAGCGCCGTCTCTCCTGCCTGCTTCCTCCCAGGCGGCGCCCTTCAAGCCGGCCGGCCGGGTGATCCTGGCGACAGAGAACGATTACTGCAAGCTGTGTGACGCCTCCTTCAGCTCCCCGGCTGTGGCGCAGGCCCACTACCAGGGCAAGAACCACGCCAAGAGACTGCGCCTGGCAGATGCCCAGCAGAGCAGTCCCTTCGTGTGAGTCGGGGTACAGTCCCCTTCTACTTCCAGCCCCACACAGGTAGCTGGGTCTTGATCGCCAGGCGTCACAGGGGAGACTGAATATTGACAAGCTAGGACATTGCTGATCTTTACTGATAAAACAAACAGCCTTCTGGGAAGAGGTCCACACTCTGCACTGTAAGTGATCTCCTGCACTGAAATGTGAAACATGAAATCAACGTGTATCCAATAGCCTCTCTGCTTTCAGAACAACTTTATTCTTTTGGCTTTTCAAAGTGCCGTACAGAACAAGAACAACAAAGAAGATAACACGTTGAGAGGAGATGGCAGATGAGATACAGAAGGAAAGCCCTTCTGTGGGGCTCACAGAACCAGTTAAATCAAAGCTCTTCTAAAGAAGAGGGTTTTGAGTCCAGATTTGAAACAGAGGGAAGGTGACTCTCTGATATCCTTAGGGAAGGAGTTCCAGAGCTTTGGGGCGCAGCAGGAGAAGCCCTGTCACCCCTACAGTGCTTGGGGGACAGACATTAGACCCACAGACAGAATTAGACGAGCGAAAGTTGCGAGGTGCGGAGTAGGACAATAGTGGTGCCAAGCCATGCGGAGCCAAACATCACTCTTAATAAGACCACATAAGATCTATGGCGTGGCTGGAAGTTCCCAAAGAAACTGTGGTTTTAATGTGCGTCAGTGGCAGATTACATTTAAATACTTGTATTAAAATGATTTAAGAACACATAGAGTACTCCGACACACCCTCCAACAGAAACTGTAAACCCGAACTGTAGGTGAAGGTAGCATTGTGTTAGCAGAACAAAGACCTCTCTCCTGAGGGGGAGGGGGGATTTCTGCCTTCAGAACAGGAGATGGTGGGCAGCAGTCTGGAGCTCAGCTGATGGAGTGGATTTCTGTGTTTTTCAGAGACTCGTCAGAACCCAGCCAAAGGCGACCAAGGAAAGAGGGGAGTGAGTTTAGAGTCATGAAGAATCGCAGGAATGTGCCCCCAAACGTGCCAGGTGAGACTGCTTTCTACCGCAGGCTGAAGAGCAAGGACGTTAGGACAGTGCATGACGAAACACAGCCAAGGTCTGCTGCACGACTCATTCATTTTACCTTCTTGTGGTAAACGCAGATGTAGGTTTGTTTGTTTTCTGTTCACTCGGGCGTTAGTGCTCGCAGCTGGCAGAGTGGTTCTGGTGATGAGCTGACGGTCTGGCGCCTGGCCTTGCTATACTCTCTCTTCCGTAAACGATCTCCGATCGGAGCTGCAGGGCTGTTCGGGAAGTCGAGGGCCGACGCCCATTCTCCCGCGGAGCGGGTCAGAGTGGGCGCGGCAAGGGTGGGGTGGTCTGCCCTCGTGCTTCACCAGGGCTTGTTCACCAAAATCTGTTGTTTCTGTGATCTTTTAAGTAAATCTGGGACTGTGCAGAACTAGAGCAGGATGGGTCTGATGGGGCTGGAGCCTTTCTGATGTCCTGACGTGCTGTTTTAAAAGGCAGGAGGAGAATGTCACCTTTAGTCAGCCTGTGTCTTGCAGTTTTTCACCCCTTTGAGGATGAACCACTGACCTCAGTTTCAGCACATGTTGTCAGTGGTGTGTCAGAAAATGTTCACATGTCCTTACTGCCTGGCTCTGATGTCTTCTCCTTCTAGCCTGGCCACCAGTTACTGGTGTTGTTTTGTTTTATTATGGATTGTGGATAATACATCATGTTACAATGTCTCATTGTGTTATATATACTGTAAGCCTTATTGGCGTGCATATGAGAGCAAAGTTGTGAATCCCTTTGTGCATTCTGGAGAAGTGAACGCTAGCATAGTGCACAGGCCTTTTTAAACTGAAGCTCAAAATTCTGCAGCCTTCACTCAGCTGGTATGTCAGACAAGAATTTAAAAGACCTCTCTGTGATTCCCTCTGTATTAAAAGCTGTTTGTTTTTCAGCTGGTAATCTGCATGGCAGTGATACATTTAAATGTTCAAAGCTCTCAGGTTTTTGATCTTCCTATGCTGTTAAAAAAGCAACCTGTCATTTTTCCATTTGTTACTTAGGTGTAACGTTGGTGGGGGTTCTCTGTGACTGCTGGTTTCAAAGTTATATCTGTGATCTGTTCAGAAGCCAGTAAAGTACGAAAACGGTTTGAAGCTAGCGGACACACTTGTAAGAGCATTTCTATTCGATAAGAACTACTCCATGAGGAGAGACACTGTGTTAGAATCTACCTGGACTCAGCAGGATCCAATGTTATCAAACCTGTTTTCTTCTCCGGTTTTGTGAGCGTCAGGAGCAGATACCGGCCTGTGTGTGGAACACAGGGTCTGTTCGTTTTTCTCATCAAGCCATGGATACAGGCCCAGCCTGCCCCTTGTGAAGTCGATGTGGTGTTGCTCGCTGATGAGATAAAGCTGGAGCACAGCTCACTGGGAGCGACGTGACTTCTGTCCACAGGAGCTCGGGGGCAGAAGTGTGGTGATGACTGTGGCGTGAATCCGGGAGTCCAGCCACTGTGTTCCTCAGGCCCGAGCGATAAAGAGGCGCGTGTCAGTTTTCTCTCATGAACCGCGAGAAACAAATATCCGAAGGGTGAACCTGAAAGCAAACATGAAAATATCTGGATTTCCTCCACGTTTCACATGTCCTTATTCTCTGAAGACTGATGGTCTTGCATAACGTACGAAAGCAGGAAGCTGGCTGCCGAGAGGCCTTGAGCACTGGGCACGTGTGTTTCAGTGAGCAGGGGCGCAACTGGATGGCCTTGGAGGCGGAGAGTTAATCTCCTCTCCTCTCACGCTTCTCCCTCCTGGCGGCGCTCATGGACTCCTGGAGTGGATGTGCGCACGGGCGTGCTGGGAGCGAAGCTGTCGGCGGTCCTGTGTGAGGGGCAGAGCGCGCAGGGGTTGTGCTGAGCATCACAGGGGCTCTTCTAGCAGAGGGGAGCAGTGGCGCGGGGGTGTCCCCCCTTCATCCCCAGCCGAAGCCGGAGCCACGAATGCAGGTGTTTCCAGGCTCCTGGCGCTAGAGCCCGGTGCTGCCTGGCTTGGGGCTCGGGCCGGACCCAGCGAGAGGAGCAGAGCGGTCCCGAGGAGACTGCTGGGCCGGGCAGAGCCAGGCAGACGTCAGTCAGGCGGCTCTTCGCGGAAAGCTCAGCCGCTGCTGGAGCGCTGATAAGGGAACAGCAGGCCAGGCTGCGCGTGAGCCCTCTGAGCGCGCTGCAGCCCCTTCTAAGGAGATAATATTTTAAGAGCTCTAAATGTAATTCTTGCATAATTAAAGCTCTGTAATCGTTTTTATGTTGATGAAAAAACGCTCTTAACTTGAACTGCTTGAAAAGGGGCATTCAGTATCTCCAGCCTGCAGTCAGTAGTGAAGACTCGAATTTGTTGTCTTTAGAGGCTGATTGTGTTTTTCTTGAACCCCCACCAGCTGAATAGACATCTGACAAAGCTTTGCTGTGTTTAGTTCAATGTGTACGGGATTATCAGGCTTCAAATTCTAACTGAGGGAGAGGGAACCCACACTTTCAGTACACAGCTTTGCGGATCTAAGTTCCTGTTGAACTCCTAAGGCTAGGAGCAGACAGGGGGTTCAACCTCAAGCTGGAAAAAGTGCTGTTTTGAAGCAAGAGTACTATTCCGAATATTGGCTGCGCCTTTCCCCATCTCAGTTTGGTTAAGTGACGTGTCTGCTTTAGGAGAGGGCCAGGTGTAGCCTTGCTAATGTTTCTTGGACAGGAAGGGCTGGTACAAAAGAGAGCCAGAGACGCTCTTTTACACAATGCATTGTGGGAGTGGAGCAAGTTATCCAGGGGTGCGGAGCGAGACCGCCGGACCGGAGTCTCGGAGACGCCCCCGCGCCCCGCTCCCGTTCGCGTGCGCTGTGTTGCTGCGGTAACCTCTCCGGCAACTTCTCTGCTCGCAGGGCCCTACTTCAACCCCCGGCCCCGGCAGCGCATCCCCCGCGACCTGGCCATGTGCGTCACGCCCAGCGGCCAGTTCTACTGCTCCATGTGCAACTCGGGCGCCAGCGAGGAGGCCGACTTCCGGCTGCACCTGGAGAGCAAGCAGCACAAGAGCAAGGTGTCGGAGCAGCGCTACCGCAGCGAGATGGAGAACCTGGGCTACACGTAGGGGCGTCGGGGGGCGCGGGGAGTCCCCAGGAGCGCCCCGCCGAAGGGGCCGGCCGGAGGAGGGGGGCGCGGGGCTGGACTGGGCGACCCGCCCTCACCTGGCCCACGTCCGGAGCGAACCACTGTCCCCCGTGCGTTTTGTCAAGAAGAAAATAATGTTGTTGCTGGATTTCTAGGTATTTATTTATTGATATTCTATAAATATTTTTTTGAATGCACAGTAGCACCCCCTGTTGGTAAGCTAATCAACATGGCCTGTCCTTGCTTTGTCAGCTGGTAATATGTATCGATCTGCAGTTTTAACTACTGTGCTGTGATGAAACTAGCGCCTGAGATGAGGGCTGGGATGGGCTTTGTTCAGCCCGTCCTGGGAATCTCAAGAAAACAACCCAGCCGAGCAAACCGTGCGTCTCGTCAGCTTTCGTGGCTTCTGGGGATCCCCTCCCAGTCCAGCAGACGTGTTGAAGTGAAGCAGACATTGCAGTCCAGACTTCCACCAGACAAGGTGAATGTACTGTGAAGGCAATGACACTTAGCAAGTTAGCTGGCTTCGTGCAGAAAAAAAACGGTTCCGAGACAAGTTTTCTTTTTCCTTGGTGTTTTTTGTGGAAGCTGTTCTGTGGTCTCGTGGGATATCTTTAACATGACCTCCAATGCTAGCCCGGCCAGATTGCTTTTGTAATTTGAAGCCGATTGCGGTGCACTCAGGCCTTGCAGACGCCAGCGCCCTTTCAGTCACAGACCATGGTGAATCCTGTGGGGGGGTCCTGACCCCCTTCCTCGCACCATTGAGACATTCAAGGATGTTCTGGTGCACTCGTGGGTTTTAGCGGAAGAACAAACTTGAAAAGAAAAACTCTTTTTTCAATATATGTAATAATAACAACAATAATAATCAATTAATACACTTTAACTTGAGCGTTATAAATATACAGTGCAGTATAAAGACCATTGATCCTCCAATTTTAAACCAAAGTGTCCTATACCACCACATGAAGGAGAATACACTCCTCACACCTGGCCAGGTATCTGACTCCTCACACTTGGCCAGTTATCTGGCTCTTCACACCTGGCCAGTTATCTGACTCTTCACACCTGGCCAGTTATCTGACTCTTCACACCTGGCCAGGTATTGGACTCCTCACATGTGGCCGCCAGTAGAATATGTCATGTGGCCTTTGCAGTACAGATGTTCTCGTTTTGCACGCAATCTCAAAGCCCCTTGAAAACGGAAACTAAGCAAAAACCTGTTCTGTGCTGAAACACACTCTGGCATTTCAGATTTTGTTGCACTGTACTGTAGAGCCAGTTCTAGGTTTTCCCTTTTGCAGGATGAGCTGGCCGCCATGCTGAAAGTGCACAAGGCTCACAGGTCGTCTCACACTGCAGGGAGCCCTGCACTCCCTTCCCAAGCACTGCTTAAATTATTTATTTTTTTTATCTCTTGACACAGTGTGTCTACAGGTTACGAATTGCCAGTGTTTTCTTTTCACACACACGATGTACGAGAGGTGAGGCAGAGCTATGCTGTGCCGGTTTCCCCAGTGAAAACACAGGCAGATCTACTGCTCTGTCTGCAGAGACAGAAGCCTCTCTACTGATTCACGGATCATTTAGCTGTTTGTGTGACATTATATGACTTGAATGTGAAGGTTCACGTTACTTTACACATTTATTTCTTTTTTGTACATTTACTTATTTACTATTTGTGGATAAAAATGCAGAGTGTTCCTTTGTAATTTAGTTATTTTGATTTGTTTGCACATATTTTAATATTGCATGTGTTCTTTTAGTTGTGAAGGCTTTTTGTGTGTTTAAAAGCTTGGGGAGTTGTACTGAAACACTTTGCAAGCTGAAATTAATTGAATTTCTGAGTCCTTTGTGTGATTTCCATGCTCTAGACAAGCAGTCCCCAACCTGTCTTCTGCAGACCCCGGAGATCTGCTAAGCTCTTACAGGGGTTCCGCGGAAAAGATGAGGTGATATCAACTGCTCCAACTCCGCATGCTGGTTGTGAAGTCAGAGAAAGAGAACCAGCTTTCTCCTACAGCTAATTACTCAACACAAACACACACACACACACACACAGGTCCTCCTACAGATCGTTACTCAGCACACACACACACATCCTCCTACAGCTAATTACTCAACACACACACACACACATCCTCCTACAGCTCGTTACTCAGCACACACACACACATCCTCCTACGGCTAATTACTCAGCACACACACATCCTCCTACAGCTCGTTACTCAGCACACACACATTCTCCTACAGCT